TTGTAAAAAATTCCTTTTTTCATACATACTGTTCCGCAAGAAAAGAATTCATATTAAAAATTTATACAAATTATTTTTTGATGGATATTAATACAATTTTAATTAAAAAGAACTCTCCTCACTTTTTTCCAAGATTACAGATTAAAGACCGTAAGGCCGCATGATGGAGGAAAATTTTAATTTCAGTTCAAAATGATAAAAGAAAAAGTTTATAATATTATAATTCTGTTCAAAATAATACCACAAGTTGACATAGAACATTACCTGAAGGCACCGGACGTATCTCTTCGTATATCCCAAGTCATTTACTAATGGCACTTCCAATGCCTTGGCCAATTGTCGAGCTGACCCCACAAACCTAAAAAAGTTTCCCATTAAAACCATGTCTTACTATTTGTTGTATAAAGCTCAAAAGAATGTCAAGATTACTTTCTAAAACATCTCACAAAGTTTACAGAAGAAAGAAAAAAAATTGCCAGACAATACTTCTTCGTTTTTTTTTTTCAATTGACGAATTTGGACTATGCTATATTAAAGTAAACATAATAAGCTCGTTAAAACTACAATTATCAAGAGGAAAAATATGACACTCAATAATGGAGAGATTTTTCTAAAAGTGAACATACATATTGCAATTTGTTTGTAACTCTGGAGTAGACAAGTTAGATGATGCATTTTGAATAGCAGTCTGATACTTCTGAGCAGCTGCCCCCAGCTGACTAACCTGCACATAACAATTAACTGTCAGAAATCATATAACCCACAAAAGTCAACAATAGACACATTAATTTTTTAAATTACTTCTAACCAGTACATTTTCCACCAAAAATCAAAGGAGGTTTTTTAAATCTTATGAAATGTTATAGAATCATGAAGAAAAGAAGATAAGAGTACGTAAGCCAGTATTGTGACATACAGGAGTCATCGAACAAAATATGTAGATAGTACAAAGCCAATCACAGACTTTGTAATGACTTTTCCATTTTATCAATGAAAACCTTTTGATCCATTTCCAATATTGCAACAACCATGCAAACCAAACAGCCACAAATCTCATTTTCGAACAATCACCACTAGATATTAAATTGAAGACGAGCATTATGGTTGCCACTTGTTTCTAAGAAATTTAAGGTAAATCAGAGAACCCAAAAGAGGCAGTTAATCTTAATTTTCAGTTGTGTTTTCTGTAGGTAGGCAATATTTATAACTTTTTTGAAACTGAGTTTCTCAGGAATTTGTGGGAAAAGAAAAGCAATGTCTACATTCTAATAATCCATAGCCTTTAAAGTAGATGATTTCCCCTTCCTGTTCACTCAAGCTTTACTCTAGAGTTTAATCTAAAATTGAGAATCGTCTGGTCTAGCTCCAACTTAGATGTAGGTTAGGAGATATGGGGAAGGGAATAGGAGAATTTTTACAAATCAATTTGCGGCAGATTGAAGTCTAGGATTCGGTCCAATTTATTTGCTAGCTATTTCTCAACAAGACTATAGATCAATAGAAAAGTCTTCTGCAGTCTTGCCTTTTTCAGGTTGAAGAATTTGTCTTCTCTGTAATATTGTTCAATAAAACAAGTGTTTCTTAACAAACATGTGTTTGTACATAAATATATACATGAATAAAAATGGAAAAAAAATTGTGAAAGAGATAAAAAAGAAGCCGTATATACTAATCAACAATATGTTCAACACTATTAGGGGTTCAAGCCAGATGGGAAGTTTCTGGTGGAATGCTTGAAGAGTTTTTCAACATCATTACCTGAGGTATTAGTAACCTCCGAGGAATAAGCTCTTCATGACGACGAGCACAAAATTCCCAAGAACATATCTAATAAAAGAAAAAGGAAGGTAAGCTATATACGATGTTGCCTAAGGAGGAAAGAATTGTGAAAAAGAAAAGGAAGGAACTTTGACCTTTAAGTCTGGAGAAAAAACTATTCGAAGTTGGCCATCACGAACAACACGAAGTTGCTCAAAAACACTTTCTTGTATTGCTTTGGCATAATCTAGGACAATTTGTCCAGATGAATTATGATATTCACGGGGCATATCAACATAGAGAAGTTCTTCTAGCGTCCCACTTTCATACTTGATTTTGAACAGCCTTGGAAGAACTTCAAAAGTTGCTTCTGAAATGTCAAGAGAAAATTAGATGTAGTTAGAACTCCGTAGACATAAAAAAAATACATCAACCAAAAGAAAAAGAAATGAGTTGAGAGAAAATAAACACAAGAACCAATTACAATTACAATTGTAGCCAGCTCATAACTTACAAAATCCACAGAATGCAATTCAGAAAAAACAAAAGCTATAAGCCTATAACATACCAAAACCTCGACCAGGCTTGCGATTGCATATTTCACAATGCCAAACGTCCTGCAAAACGCACCATGAACATTACAACTTTTACTTACATCTATGCTGTAAAGTTTTTAGCAAATTAGAAAGTCCACCATGAATCTTCACCCAGGATAACAGATTATTGAAGGAACAATAACAAAATATCCAAAATTCACAAAATTGATTGTCAATATAGTAAAGTTGCACTTGAAACAATTGCAATCACAAAAACTTTTAAAATATAGACAGAAAAGGCTTAGCCCCTAGTTTAAATCGTGCCCCAGTAGTTGCAATCTCATCCATATCTCTCACTCTCTCTCTCGTAATGTCCATACATTACGACCCTCATCCCTCCCTACTTACCCCTCTCTCTCCTTCATTGAAACTCATTGAAAACAATTGCCATCATGGAAATTATTTAAATATAGTGGGGTGAGCTGAGACCCAACTTTCAAATATGCCTTTAGGAGTCCCAAAATGAAGGCTCTCCCCTGCTCTCTCTCTCTCTCTTATTCCCATACGGCATACAATAATACCTCCCTCTCTCTCTCTCTATCTCTCTCTTACTGCCCAGACCTCCCTAACTCTCCCACATTTCAATCAATTACAATCGTGGAAACTTTAAATATAGTGGGGTGGGTCGTAGCTCCATGTTTGAATTGTGCCTCTAATAGTCGCAATCTTACCCTGGTACCTCTTCTTTCCACTCTATTTTTTTCCCATTTCAATATGCCAGGTTTCCCTTGCAGAATCCCCCCCTCCCCCCACACAGTTAAGGTCAAATTAATTTAAACAGACTCTGAAGAACTCTTGAAAATTACAGGGTTTTATTGCAGCAGACCTGTGGAAATACACCAGTTGTTTGGCGACCATTTCCATACATGGAAACACACCATTTCTTTTTGGCATGAGGAGCAAAGTACTCTGCAACAAATTTCCTCCAGAACTCAATATTGTTGTCCTACAAACATAGACATGATTAGGATCATTTAGCTTACATTATAGGTTGTACTGCAACCAAATGAAACAATTAAGAAACATAATCTTACTTCAGGCCTGTGCTGTTGTTGATACATATAACTTGTTAAACGTCGAGCACACATGCCAGGTTCATAAACTGGTTTTACAGGGGATCTCAATGGCACATTTTGTTGTTGAAATTGTTGTGGTAAATGCGGTCTTTGCTGAGGCATAGCCTTCAGGAGTTGTTGATGCTGTTGAAATTGCAAGAGTCTTTGTTGGTGCAAAAGATTAATCTGTGCAGCAGCAGCCTGAGAGGACTGCCTAGACATACTAAGTAACTGCTGTTGCTGTTGTTGCTGTTGCTGCTGTAGAAACAATGACTGATCAGACTGTTGAGGTTCCAATTTAACAGGACCCAAGTTTCTCATGGATTGAAGCTGTTGTGGTTCCAGTTTCACAGGGCCAAGATTTCTCATTGACTGCAACTGCTGCTGCTGCTGCTGCTGTAGTTGCTGCCCTTGAAGATCATTAGTACTCATTTGAGGCTCTAACTTGACAGGTCCAACACCACATAAGTTTCCTCGAATTGGTTGGAATTGATGTTGTTGTTGTTGTTGCTGCTGCTGCTGTGACTGCTGTGCGTTATTAGAGGTAGTGAACTGTTGCATTGAATGCTGACTATGTTGGAAGTTCTGGGGCTCAATTTGCTGTGGCTGCTGCTGTTGATTGGGTATTATTTGGCTGCTAGAATGGTTTGAAAATTGTGGCCCTGAAACTTGACTAGATGAACCAGGGTTTGCTGTATTTGATGCCACCAATGATGCTGAGGTATTATTGAAGTTCACACCATTGCCAACAAGTGAAAAGGGATCCGACTCAGAACTAGGGTCCATACCTCCTCGTTGGCTGTTTCCAAGACCCGGGGGCCCAGAATTCGGAACTCCATTCCCAAACGACTGATTAAGAAGAGAAGACATACTGGGCATATTGCCAAGCATATTCATACTATTAAACTGAGTCCGTGGGGATACAAGAGAAGGAAAAGCTGACTGAGAAGGCAGCCCTCCTTGTGCTCCCATCATTCCAGAATTTGATCTCAAAAGCGATGGTGAAACAGACTGCGCACCACCAATGGGAGTGGATGGCCCTGAAGGTACCATCTTCTTCAAAAATCTATACACACTCCGGAAGAAGGGGGTAAAGGCAAACTATCTAAAGTAACATTAATTGACTAATACACAAGAACTCGTGCAAGACACGTAAGAGGGCTCAATCCAGAGAGGAATCGTCCCCAACACTCCTGGTTGCAAACTTCATGGTCGTTATGATGAACCAATAGAAACGGGAAAGTTTTAAGCCTCAGCACATGGTGCGGATTTTTACTGAATACAAGCTGGAGACCAAAAAATGCTGAAACGATGGAACAAGCCCTGGTTTTGAACATTCTACAACCAGACAATCTTCGCTAGAGTAATCCTTGAAGGGCTTTCGCATGAATCTGTATAAACAATGAATTTCAGGTAACATTCACTTCATCTTTACAAACAAAATACGCTAAAATCTTATCAACAAATCGACCTCTTTAACACTTCGCCCACGAAATCTCATAATACAACCCAAATGCACAATGAATTCATCGCCAAAAAATAAAGAAATGGACCAAACTCAAATACCAGATAAATAAAAATCCTCTCAATTTTGAAAAACGACAAACAATTGAAACAAGATTTAATGATAACGACTATCTTTAGAACTCTGAGCTGAAATTCTTCACGAACTATATCGAACAAAAGTTGAAAATTATTAAAAGATAACAAACACTGATTATAAATTTTTTTTAAAAAGAACAGAGAGGAAATATATTCACAAAAAGGAAAGCAGTAGAACACAGCAAAACGATCCAAAGAATGACATAATGAGAGAAATCACATCTAGTAAGGTAAGTAAATTCCAAAAAAAAGCTCAACCAAAAAAAAAAAAAAGAAACAAATGAAGTAGAAGAGCTTTGATGAAGAATAGAGCAGCAAGAACTGACCTGCAAGTTAAACTTCGATTGAATGAAAGATTTCAACAGAACCGATCAGAATTACAACAAATAACCAAACAACCGAAATGATTTCTGCTTCAATTATCAGCAGTTCCCTCCGCGTGTGCTTGGAAATTGGTATTGAGTACAGAAAGCGGGAGCTGGTATGCTAGGGTTTCAGAGTCTGAAGTTCCGGTGGAGTGATTTTCTCTCTCATGAACCAAATTTGCAGACCCAGTTCTTCGCCGTATGCTAGAGAGAGGAGAGAGAGGGGTAGAGAGAGAAAGTTGATGGGTGTCCTTGTGGACGTCAAACTTCTATTCGATCTGATTGAATTTTCTTCATTCCTTCTTTCGTTTAACTTTTTTTTTTCTTTTTGCATTTTTTTTCTCTCTCTCTTACTCCATGTGACAAACCAAGTCAAACGCCATCCTTCTTTCATTAACACTTGCTAATAAAAACACATCATCATCATCATCCATGCGCATGTTCATTTCAACATCATCCATGACCAAAGAAAATTTTCGATACAGAGACATGGATACTCGGTCTATTTACTGCTTGCCACGTCAGAATTGTATTAAAAATTATGAGAAATTATCTGGTACCATGGGAGTCGTACATACTCCTTTGGTATTCTCCTTGTTCACACCACAACTTTTTATTTATAAATAATTCTTTAATGTTAGTGGATCCTACATAGTTGTCACATGATGCTGACATGACACGCAATATATGTCTGTGGTATTTATAATGCCACAGTAAAAAAATTCATAAAAATAATACGGAGTTCACCAATATTGAAAAAGTATTGCAATAAGTGAGTATAATACTCTATTTTGTTGGCACAATAAATGGAATAAATGAACCCCACATCATTTTTAATAAAATGCTGACACTGCAAACGAAAAATAGGAAGGAGTATGTTCCTTTCGTAGTACCATAAATTTTCCCCACTCGAAAAAGTCTAATACTACGGAAGAACCACGGAAAAAGTCTAATACTACGAAAGATCCATACTCTAGTATTTTGTTTAGATACTAAATGAAATGAATGAACCCCACATCATTTTTAATACCGACAGTACTGATGTGGATAACAGTAAATGGAATGGAGTATGTTACTCGTGTAATAAAGAAATTTTTGCCACTAATATTAAAAAGAATAATTTATAAAAACAAAATTATAGTAAGAACAAGGGGAGTATGGTACTCATAAAGTGAATGAATTTTTCCCACCATCATACATCATCATCAACATCATTCTCCCAAGTCTTGAGGGTGTGATTGTACCATCAAATTCTATTATTACTTGGACACTATGTTTTGTCCAAAAGAAATCTTGTCAATTATTATTTAGAAAATGTAATATTATTATTATCATCAAAGATTTTATTGTGTGGTTGTGAAAAGAAATAATTGTTGTGAAAGTTTTAAGAACTTCGAAGTGAAAGTGCGCGGGAAAAGGTTGACTTGTTGGTCGAAATTTAGTTAGGTGAGAGTAGAGAATTTAGCAATACAACAATAAGAATTATGTTTGATTATTTTTTTCAATCAAGTATTTTCCATCATCCTTTACTTGATCAAGCCTCAACAACATAGCCAAACTAGTTAATTAGGTCATAGATTTGGAGCTTTCAACTTGAACAAAAATACTCGAACAATATTTTATTTTAGTTTAATAATTACAGGGTGAATAGTCGAATCATCAATGTTTAAGATGGTAAATAGTAATGAGAATGTGACCAAAGTTCCACATTGGTTAAATAAGGGAAAGATCATGAGTATACGTGTGAGGGACAACATTTCCAATAGTAAAATGCTTTTTGGGTGAAACCAAAAGTAAAGTCGTGAAGTTTATGTCTAAAACAGACAATATCATACTTATTTGTGTAGCTTTACCAATATAATTGTACTTCTTTGGCATCCTACAGCTTGACCATACGATATATCCTTAACTTCATATTACATGCTTGTTCTTTACAAGACATACTATACTCCAAAACATAGGATAGACACAATATAATCAAGCTAAAAAAAATGTAACCAACATATGATTTAACCCTCACGAAAAATTTTGAGCTCATAAAACCTAAAATAATTTTTTTAACTCGCCGCACCTAAGTGAGGTTCCCCAATCCACTTAAATCATTAGATAATAGAGTTCCCTAGTCTAATAGGATAATCTTGTCAGTCAAGTAACGTTCTACATTAAAATTGAGCTACATTCTTTAACTTCTTTGAGTCACAACTAAAGAGCTCATATCAATACCTATCAACTAAGAAACATTTGGATCAATTAACCATATAGAGTGCGTAACCTAATTTTAGACACCCTTCCTAAAGAGAAGTTGTATATCATACTCTTGTCCCTATGGTATATAGGTCGTGCTCGGAACATAGATCAAGTACACTCGTGATCATGCCCACAACCATACAACCATACAAATTTCTCACGCTAGAGTTTCACCGAAAGAAACTCCTTAATCAATGACATAGTACATACTAATGAATCTACGGGTGAATAACACAGTAACTAGAGTTATAGGTATCAAACATCAACTATCACTAATTCTTCCTATTACTCTTTTCTATTTATTACAAATTAACTTTGGCTAATCTACACTGATACAGTTCATCTATCTGTATTTTCTATTTTTTTATGTTTTTACAAGATATTAAATTATTGGCAATGGTTATGTTCGTTTATCCTAGATAGTTTATCTTAGATTATAGCTTTATTTGTGAGACTGTTTTTCAACTTATCACTTATTTATGAAATCCACGGTTGGAGTTCCTCTATTTGAAATAGCAAACACAAGAAGCACTATCACAATTAGAAAAGTAAAATTACACAAATAACACAAGTGATCGCCACCATAAGCATATACTTGTTGATGTTTTAAAACTATGAGGAGATACCTAAGAAAGATTTAAATGAAAATGGTGGAAGTGCTTGAACAAAATTGTTAGGCTTAACAAAAATATATATAGTCACCAAACATGGCCAATAACTACAAAAGGCAAAAAGCATCTCAACTTTGTGTGAGTTTCAAATTTGGTAGATTTTGGATGTGAAACCTCCAAAACACTATGCAACATTGAGTTATAACATATATTTGGCTCCCAATGCTAAGAAATTTTAGATTTGCTGATAAAAAGAGGGACGAGAAAAAAAGGCGTTTTTTTTTTGCGCTTTTTAGTGCTTAATTAGACTACAAGAGTGTTGATCACTTGAAAATAACGTTTTGAATAGTCACCTCTGGAGTGTTTTTAAAATAATTCCATTTTCAAAAAAGCATTTTTATTTTTTACAAATATGGTAGGTTTTTTAAGAATATTAGTTATCTAAATCATTTAGGAAACTTTACTAAACACACTTTTGAATTAGTAAATCTTCCGAAAGTACGAGTAAAAAGAGTAATTTTTATTTTAAAAAAACACTAGAACAATGGACGTGGATGGATCTACGGGCAATTGACAAAAACTAATGAGACCAAAATAAGAAATTTAAAGACATATTCAAAACCAATTTTAAAATTTTTCGACCAAATAAACAAAACTATCATAGTTTAAAATATTTGGCTCGTCAATAGTAAGAACCAATTTTGTCCTCACCATCATTAAATATTTGACAACTCAGAAAGATAAATATAAAAATAAATATTTTTTTTAAAAAAATAATGGGTTGCTAAATTTTGAATGGTAATAAGATTTGGTCCAAGTATTTTACTTTATAATTTAGCCCCTATGTCAACCTTGCAAATTACTCTTTCAAATAATTTTTTTAATATTACAATTCAAACACACCTTTGTTATTTTTAAATGATTTATTCTGGAAAGAAACCTTTGATTTGTTTGGTAACAAACAAAAATTTCCACTTTCTCCTCATCTGATTGGATAATAGCAACTAGTTCTTTTATTGTTTTATTCTAAACCCTTTCTTAATCCTCAATAATCTTTCCAAATCAATCTATTTTTTATTCTCCTTTAAAAAAAAGGGCCCCAATTCACTGCATCACGCACCTGAACGTAGACCACGTGGCACAATTTTACTGGGTATCATGTCGACCACACCCATTTTTAGCATGGGCCCGCTGTACTGAACCGGACTTCAAAATAATATTTTAATAGAATTAGAGAATCTTCTTTAGCCCAACTGTCCGCTTAGCTGACAAATTTCCCCTCCTTTTAACGGCCGTTATGCCCTTTTCCGCACAAAAACATAACGGCGCTTTTTGGACGGAGCACGCCGCTGCCACGTGACCCTCATTCTCAAGCACGTGCCCGCTTTCGGACATTCCAATTTCCACATCATGTTGTATGTATGGATGTGGATGTTATGGTCATGCCATGGGCATAATTGGAATTTCACTTCTTTTTTTTTTAAATGGGGAATTTAATGGGTTCATAATGAAGGGAATTGATGAAGGGGAAGCATGTTTGATGCATGGGCTGGTTTTAGGGTTTTGAGTATAGTCCATAGACTACACAATCGTCACTTGACGTCATTTTTCTTTAGGAATGTGAATTTCCACTTATACCCTCCATTTAGTCCTCTTATTTCTAACTCCGATGCGGTGTAATTTTGGTCCTAAAGTTTAAGCTTAAAGTCCGTGTGATTCTTGAACTTGTATGTTTATCGGGAGGTGAAATTCATTTCAGAATAAAATATGTGTGAGGCTATGCTTCAAACGGGGGAAAGAATCTAGTTTAGAATGAGTTCGAGGATGAAGGGAAGTTTTCCGCCTTAAAAAGTATTATTTCTTAATCATTTTATTTTTTTAATTAAATTATTGATAAAAACATGTTTAATATATTTTAATATTAATAATATAGATACTAATTATTCATATAATCTCAAAAATATTTATTGTTATTTAACTATTTATATTTAAATAATAAATATACTGAATATTGAAATAGAAATTTCAATGTTTATTCATTTGTTTAGAAAATTAAATGTTTATATAAACAAATATTTGAAGTCTGCAAACTTTAACAAAAATTATATATGTTTATTACATTATAGATGAGTTGATGAAAACTCAAAAGATAGGTCTAATTTTAAATGTATAGATTAAAACACTTGGAAATACATCAAAGAATAAATATATGTGTGTTTTAATCCTTGATGTTTGAGTTTTTTTTTTCAAGTTAATCCCTATTGCTCAAAAAAAATTTAATTTATTTTAATTTAGTCTCTTTCATTTTAAATTTTTTCAATTATACTTCTTTTTTTGTATGAATGTTAAATTTGACGGATGATAACTTACCTATATGAGGCAACAAACATTTAGATGAGGAACAATAAGAGAAAACTTTATTATGTCTCCAAATTTT